GTGATGATGATGAATATTCAATATTACTAGATGCATGTTGATTCAAATTATTAGTATTATTCATAGTTTTGCATTTAACCTTTGTAATAATTGTATCCTTTACATTTTCACTAGTACCTGATGATAATGATGATGCATTCGAGCAAGTTGTAATATTTTCTGAAAAAGTATTGTCAGTAGATGCATTTGGTGGATTAATAATTTTGTAAATAGTCAAATCACTTTCTGTTAATTGTTGCTTATCAAATTCAAAATAATTTTTCAATAAATTATCATTTTGTAATGGTTTTCTCAATCTCGATTGTTTAATTTTCAATTCCTTATTTCTCTTTTTCACTTTTGCTTTCTTTGTAACATTGCTAGTTTCATCAATGAATGACATGTTGTTGGAATTCTGGTTCTTCTTCATTGGATATGTGTTCTTGATTATTTTTTAATAAAATTAATCACTCTTGTTGTTGCTGTTATTTGACTTTCTTTAATAAGTTTGATTACCAATTATAGAACATGCCAAATGTACATTCATTCCAATAGATACAGTGTTGTTGTTTTCAATCAACATACCTATTATTGATATTTGAGATTGATAGGTCAATGTAATAACTGGATTGAATGTAGATGCTTGTTGATGATTTTTTTGTTGTAAACCAAAGTCATGAAGCCTTGGCGAGAGTTGTTATGTAATCAAATGATTAAATTAGAAAGTCTATAAGTGGTTAGTATTAAATAAGTGGAATTATTCTCAATAATAGTTCTCTAATTTCCCATTGCCCGACTATTAGCCATTCGAATACAAATGATAGACATGCATGTTTAACCATGATGATTCGGCATGTGAAGGTTGAATGGATGTGTTATTAGATGCATGCAATGGATTACAAGTTTGATACATGCATCAAACAAACAATTAGATCATCATCATGATGCTTCACCACATGCATGCAATAAATACATGTGATTCTAAAAAGCCATCAACAACACTTTAAGGCTCACAAAACCTTTCGCGAAATAAATTGTTGTTGAAACATTTTCAAAAAATACAACACACATCTACCAAGTGTTGAGATAGTAAAAGCATGTGTGGTTTTCTAGCTTTGTCATCATGATTCAATTTTTTTTAAAGTTGTAATTGCTTTCTAGACCCCAAATGTGTTCTCAGGATTGAATAAGGAAGGTAGAACTCGTTCATGCGATATTCATAAAAAGTAAGTTGGACAACTAGATTAATGTTTATTCGTATCTCTCTCTTGCAACACATGCACGCAAGAAATGAATAGTGCTCACCTGTTCGATGAAGAACTTATAGTACTTGTTGTAGCATGCATTCAATAATTGTACAATTATTTAAAAAATCTTAAAGTAATACAACTTTTGGAAACGATGATTGTGTGAGCTAATTTAATGTTTTTAGTAATTTTACATGTTTATTGATTGACCTTAATTTGAATAGATCATAAATAGACATGCGTAAATACTACTCGTAAAACTGTTTCAAAGAGAGAACTTAATTAAAAAGAAACGAAATTGAACTGAGAAAGCTTTCACAATCATCAAATTCTACTGCTTCTTCTTCTTCTTCTTTTGAAGTATTATCACTGCATGCACTACTGCTGCTTCCACTAGTACTGCTTCCACCACTACTGCTGTTGATTGAGTTGATTGTTAGTGATGATGATGAATATTCAATATTACTAGATGCATGTTGATTCAAATTATTAGTATTATTCATAGTTTTGCATTTAACCTTCTGACATGTAATAATTGTATCAACTGTTGATGTTTCTATTGGACATGTTGTATTATTTTCAATACTACTAGAAGTATTAGAATTATCAATGATGGTGGTTGATGCATTTGGTGGATTAATAATTTTGTAAATAGTCAAATCACTTTCTGTTAATTGTTGCTTATCAAATTCAAAATAATTTTTCAATAAATTATCATTTTGTAATGGTTTTCTCAATCTCGATTGTTTAATTTTCAATTCCTTATTTCTCTTTTTCACTTTTGCTTTCTTTGTAACATTGCTAGTTTCATCAATGAATGACATGTTGTTGGAATTCTGATTCTTCTTCATTGGATATGTGTTCTTGATTATTTTTTAATAAAATTAATCACTCTTGTTGTGGTATTTTTGTTGTACTAACTTGTTGTTGCTGTTATTTGACCTTCTTTTATAAGACAGCATTCCATATATAGAACATGCCAAATGAACATTCATTCCAATAGATACAGTGCTGTTGTTTTCTATCAACATACCTATATTATTTGAGATTGATAATTCAATGCTACTTGTTGTTGTTTTTTTGTTGGACAATCAGTTGTAACAATGAATAGACCACATAGCAAGCACTATTGTACTCTGCCATGAGAGATGAAATCTCAATATTAAATTAGAAAGTCTAAAACTGGTTAGTATTAAATATGTATTGTGTTCTCAATAATAGTTCTCTAATATTCCAATTGTCCAACAATTATCAAGTATCCAAATCAATCTGTTTCCATTATCACAACACATCATCTTCATTTGGCTAGAAGAGGAATCCAGTAAGTTGTGGCCAGTTAGACTAATTGAAAGGTCAGATGTAACCAACACAATATATTGTGGATTACAAGTTGTTGCTGTTTACAGTCAGATCAGGCACACACATCTTGTTTTTACCATCACCTACATTATGATGTAGCACATGCATCTAATAACACTCTAAGGCTAATATTATTAACATTTGTAATTGTTCTTCCGAGACACATGTATCTTGTTAAACTATATTATGGATGTTGTTGAAGAAATACAACATGAAAAGCATCAGATGATGGAACCGAGGTTGTGTGCTGAAGGTTTTGTCCAGCGCTTAGCGGGTTGACTCAATTTTTTTGAAGATGCCAACCTATCGGTGTCTAAAACTCCAAATTGATATTCTAAGTATCAAAGTTGAATATGGCAGGTTTCGAGTATATCACTTATTCAAGCATGCGTTTCTATTTCCATTCATTAAATAACATTTTACAAGCCTGTTTTATTTAACTTTTTCAATTCGAAATAACGTGGATACAGGCTTTGATGTCATCTTTGAGCAAAAAAATTAATTTAATAATTCTTGGAAGGTTATTGCAGTTCTATGCTTACGTTCACTTGTTGTTGTAGCAATATTGGTCGTTGTTATAGTAGTGGTCTTCCTAGGAGTAATATTATTGAATAATGGTGATGATGATAATGGTTGAATAATAATATTATCTTCACTGGTACATGTACTTTTGTGCTCCGAAGGTCTTCTCACTCTAATATAAGCATCATCATCATTATGATTATTAGCTAAAGATGAGCAAGTAGTAATAGGCTCTGTTG